CGCGTGATAATATAAATCGTTTTACATAAATAGTAGTTTTAGGTTCGTTATAAATTAGTGTTTCTTTATACAAGGAAAAAAAGAAGTAGATTTCAGCTCTTGGTTGTGTTGTCTCCCGACGCGTAGCGGAGGAAGGCAAAAAACCGTGAGCTAAAATCTTATATTTTTCCCGTGTATAATACACTATTTTTTTACTGTAACAGAAAAAAGGACGAATCAATATTGAGAAGATATTACATTATTTCGAAATCTGAAAATTATCGACGTGAAATTTTAAGTTTTTAACAGTAGGGACACCTGCGTTGTAGGCATCTTTATCATCAGTCTTCTGAAGTAATCATTAATCTGATGTTACTTCTGTCAGTCTAATTCTGTGATTTGACTTCAAAAAATTGCGAATTTAGTGGTTGTACGTAACCGCGAAGTCGAATGGAAAATAAAAGGACTTGCAGTTCTTTCTCGGAGACGGTATTATTGACTCATTTTTCGGAACTATAGCACAACAAAAGCCATCAACAGTGTATATATATGTGATAAATATCCGGGAAAGAAGTACTCACTTTTTTCCCACGGGAACAAAGTAATTCATGAAGTGACATTTTATAACCTACCAATAGAGATAAAATGCGAAACTTTTTTCCTGTCACAGAAAAAAAATGTTTTTCATATACATAATATATATATAAATCAACTCGACTTGGTTTCCCCTATTCACCATTCGGCTATGTGGGTATCCTCATGAATCGCACTTTATATTTTTCAAAAACTGACAAAGATAACCTCAATAAAGTACCTATCTACTATTTTTTGTTTTTTTTTTGAGAAGATAGGTCAAATATCAAGTGCGTCACTTTTTTTGGAACTGAGTGTAGATTGAGAAAAATATATAAACAATCACACTGTACATGGTACGTATGATCCTTCGTTATTTGTTTGCCTGCATGATTGTTCCACTTCAGCTCCATTCTCAAAATCAGATAACAACTCTTTAAATATGTTTCATATATTATATATGAGATTGTTTTTAAGAAAAATGTAGGTAAAGGTAAAACTATCTTGAGAAAATAAACTTGCCTTGAAGCGTCAGCTTGAGCAACTCTTTGCCAGAAGAGCTCCAAACAATCCATATATTCCTTGAAGAAGTCCATGTTAGGTTTGTGAAAGTCCTTCAAGGTATAAATAGGAAATGGGCGTATCTTTTCATCTTGCGTTTCTAATTTTCTGCAAACAGCAGCGACATGTAGAATTCGTTCACCTTTCTCTTCAATTTTTTCCAGAGTCTGGATACTATCATTGTAGTTGACACTAAGAACGTTTATTTTTTCTGCATCCAAACTCCTATCCTCTATGAGCCTTTGCTTCAATACGTTGAATGCAGAATTGAAAAACTCACGTTCTATTTCTAAATCCTTAAACTTTCTCCCAAGAAGCTTCTGAGAGTCTCCGAACTTCTGCCTCAGCCTCTTGATGTTCTCGTAGGCTTTTCTTATCTTCTCCAGCTGATGGGACAAGATCTTCTGCATCGCGTCATCATGGGTACTCATGTCCTCGTACTGTTTCTTTCTGTCTTTAACCTGATTCTTGTAATTTACTAGAAACTCTCTGATGTTAGAATGTATTGTGTAGTCGATGGTTTCCAGAATGGCGCGAAGTTTTTGGATTTCTTGCGCATTTTTCGTATCTTCTTCTTCCAATTTTGAGAAGTACTCGGCACGTACCGTTTGCTTGTGTTCCTTTTTGGCAACTTCCAACATGTACAGGATGGTTTTGAGATATGACTCTTCCTCGCCGAAATATTCTTTGTTGTCTTCGGATTGCATCTCATGTTTTTTTCGAATTATGGATATCTGAAAATTGTGAAGGGAAGGGTAATTGAAGGTTCCTGTCTTCATTATCTATTCATATAAAGCTATTCCTTTCCATATGAGGAAAAGAGAATTTTGAATTGACTCGGCTGTTACTTGATGGAAATCCATATCAAATAAAAAAACTTCGCAAACGATTTCTACAAAACTCTTAATCACACGACATGTTTGTTAACACAGTAGCTTCATCAGATGAAAAACTGGTACAAAGAAAATCAACTAACCTTGGCATGCCTAACTCTTATATATCCTACTTTCCCTTTCCCAACCTGAAGGATTAACATTACTTGTGGAAAGATTCGATAAATCTTCATTTTTGGAAAATAGGCACAATATCTACATTAAAATACGGTGTACCAGATTAACTTCAGTTCAGTTCAGTTCAGAATATGCTTTATTGTCATAAGTAAAAACACACTTGTTGACAAAGCTTGTTAAATAACATGAAAATAAATAACACAAAGTACGACAATAGTACGACAAATTGTAAAATTGTTAATTCAATCAAAAAAGTTATACCTATTCAGTAAATCAAAACTCCATTGAAAAATATTTATCCAGGCTATAGAGTGGAGTTTAGACGAGTAGTGCTTTGACTTTAGTGCGGAACTTTTTATCACATGATATTTCTTTGATCTCAGTTGAAAGGTGAGTGAATATTTTTATTCCATTATAAATGATCGAGTTCTTGGGTTGATAGAAAATACATAATACTAAGAAAACAAATTCAACAGTGGTGAATAACTATTGAGGCCTAGTTGATCGTTAAGTAGAATGTTAGAATTTTTGGGTTTGTTGATTTCTAATTATTCAAAATGATTGCGTTTTATCCCTTTATTTTCTACGTGTAGAATTTCGAAATTATCATCAAAACTATGGTTTTCTTCTAGTATATGGTCGGCGTATGTTGAATTTGTTTCCACTTTCAAAAAATTCATCTTATGTTCATGAATGCGCTGATTAAACGTACGACTTGTCTGACCGATATATACCTTAGGACAAGATCCACTGTTCAGTTTGTACACCCCTGATTTTTCGTAGTTCCGAAATTCTACACGTAGAAAATAAAGTAATAAAACTCAATCATTTTGAATCATTAGAAATCAAAAAACTAAAGAACTCTAACATTTTACTTAACGATCAACTAGAACTTTATAGTTCACCACTCTTGAATTTGTTTTCTCAGTAGGTAATAAATATGTATTCGCTATCAACACTTTCAAGTTAATCCGGTACAACGTATTTCAATGTATATAGATATTGTGCCTATCTTCCAAAAATGAAGATTTAAGGTAAGTTTATTTCATTGTTTCACCTGATGAAGCTACTGTGTTAGCGGAACATGTGTGACTAAGAATTTTTTTTTATTTGCTATGGATTTCCATCAAGTAACGGCCAAGTCAATTGAATAAAATGAAGATATCATTCTCTTAAATTCCAGTAATGTATGTTGATTGTAATGATTTATTTCACCTGTTTTTCATTATCATCGTTCAACTCTTGCATTCTCTCATCAAACAATTCGATCATTTTATCGATATGCTCAACGTGATTCTTGCAATTTATCATGTATTGCTCCTCAGCATCTCTAATTTCGTCCATTAGCAATGAAATCGAGAAATCCTTACAATCAATGACCCTCTCGAAATTGTGCCAAGCATATTCCAAATCTTTCCTCATATCGGGTAAGGCAATTTTTATCAACATTTGCCTCCATTCTTTTTCGTGTTTCTGGTAAGTAAGGGTGCTGTATTGGATTTCTCGGGATAGGACATCTCTTTTAAGTTGTTTCTTCTTTTCGATTTGCTTGAGTTTCTTAGCGGCTTTCTTCTGTGCCGCGAGAGCTTTTTTTTCTTCTGGGGTTAATTTGGGTGGCATTCTTATCTACTGTGACAATCAATCTGTCAATTTTAACTTCATGAAAATTTTAGGACAGGCTTTTGATAAGCCATGATACCTTTGCCATGATGAAAAGCCAAGCACATCGATCGACTCCATGACTAAAAATTAAAATTGCCTTGAATTCTCTAAAAACATGACAATACTAATTGAGTAGCTTCAAAGTATGCTTTTAATTTTTGGTCACCGTTGAGATATGAGATAATATAGGTACACTTATACAAAGTGTATATATACAGGGTGGCCCATTGGGAAACGGAAAAACTTCAACGGTGGGTAGAACTCATCTAGGTGGTTCAGAATAAAACCATATTTTGTACGGTCTCACAAGTTATCTCTGAGATATAAGGTGTTTCATCAATTTTGGAATTTGGTACACGATCCCCCTTTTTCTATTCGAGCAACCTACCTATATCAGTCACGGGAAAATTCCAGGTCCGCATTTACCATAATTGATCATATTTTTGGGCCCCATATTTGAAAAGTGCACAAAAAACTGAATCGAATTGTGTACATCATTCTATTTTTCGGTATGCTCGCTCACTAATGGATTTATGATTTGGAATTTGAGTTTTTGTGCATTTGGATAAGTAAAAATAATAGAATATTTCGAGTTTTCCCAATCGAATAACGGGAATTATCACCCAAAAAATCCAGGTCCGGATTAACAAGAATTGCACCAAAACTGAGTCGAATTGTGCAGGTACCTACCTATTATTTTCCGCATGATCTTTTACTAATGAATTTCTGATTCTGAAAACTCGAAATATTCCATATAGAACCACAAATTCAGAATCAGAAACTCATTAGTGAAGAAGCATGCGCGAAAATGAAAAGTACACAATTCGAATCAGCTTTTTGTGCACTTTTCAGATATGTAAGCATATTATGGAAATTTGGAAATATGGAGTGCTTTTTTTGAATACCCAATTCTTGATAAAACTACAAAAGCGCTATCTATTCCAATTTGATATATCATTCCCTTGAGTCGATGGTTCTTCAACAAGTGTGGCTATTTTACATTTTTCTTGAAATCGTCTCAGGAATGTGTCCTTCAAATATTTTAATTCACTTATTTTACACCCTGTACATAATTTGTTCCATAATATGCTCCCGGGCTATGAACAGTCATTATAAACATTCACAGATGATCTGAGGTTTTGTGGTGGTTTTGTGATTCTGTGAATTATGTCAAAAGTGTCAAAGTCAAATTTGTAATATATTTATATTTTAAAAATGGGTTCCCGCGAAGAGTGGTGTGCGGACAAATTATCTAAGTTATTGCAGGAGGAATTGAGAATTTCAACTTTAAATGAGATAAAGGAACACTTCACTTCGATACCACATCAAGAAGCATCCAGAACAGCGAATGTCTTGGATCTACCATTGGTTTTTGACTGTCTGAATGATTCCAACCAGTAAGTGGATGTAATCTAACCTAAAAAATGCTGAGTAATTATTTTCTATTTTGATATTTTTTGCGAAAATTTGGAACTAATGATCAATAACCTGACCATTCCCTACTCGAAGTAGAGAATCATAATTCTTGATGTTTGCTTGTTAGAATCGGGGTCATCATCAATTCTATGTTTCTACTTGTCTTAAAAGTTAAAACCCTATAGAATTTAAGATTTCAAACTTTCTACATAACTACTTTGATATCTACAACAACTACTTCTAATAGATTAAAAATGTCAACAAAGAGACCTTTCTAATTTTTTAAAAACTATGCTATGCTATAATGTGATTCTATGAACACTTCAATATTGAATTAAATCCATTATGTGATTCATGTGCTTCTATTTCAACAGGGAACAAGTTGATTTGGCATGTGAAGTACTATCCATTTGTCTGAACAGTCTAAGCTTAGGAGAGAGCACAAACAAATATGATGTTCCCTTAGAAAGAGCATTGAATCATCCTTTTCCTTCTGTGAAACTGATGGCACTCTCAGAAATCCAAAGAAACATACACAAAGAGGAGTCCGCAATAGATATATGCAAACGAATTTCTCTCTACAAAAGCATATTGAGATGCATTGGTGATGAAGATCTCTCTGTTGCACAAAAAGCAGCCAAAATCATCAGTGTCTTGGGTCTCTCAGATCTAGGACTCAGAACCTTAGTTTCCAGTGATGTTGTTGAAGTATTGTATGACATCATGAGTACTAATGGAATTATAAGACTGAGATTATATGAAGTAAGATGTAATGATGAAAAATCTACTAGAACAATCATATTCAACAATGTTTTTCAGGTTGCAGTTAATGTAGCCAAAGAATCTGAATCTAATTTCACTTTGCTAAGGTCCACTGATATAATAGATACCATGATGGAGGAACTTAAATCAAATGATATTCTACTTAGAATGAATATAATTGAAATCATCATTGATTTAGGTTTGAGTCCTCATGGATTTATTTTTCTGGAAGAAAGTGGTATCTTGAAAGAGTTATTCAGTGTGTTAGATGACAGTGAGAATCCTATAACATTAGAACTTTGTCAGCCAGGTATTACATATCATACAGCAATAAAAATGTGAACAATTCTTTGATTCTTGTAGGTATTTTGAAGTTTTTTGGAAATTTGGCTCAATGGAGACCCATTGAGATGATGTCCAAGTATCCCAAAGTTGTTGACAGGATATACTCTAATGTTGAAAGTAGTGATTTGACTGTTGTAAAAGTGTCATTGGATACTATTGGAATCATAGGTTCTTCCAATGAGGGAAAACGTGCCCTATTGGCATCAGGTAGGAAATTACAGAAAATTCTCAACTGTGAATCACAAATTTTTGCTCCAAATTTAACATCATGTAATTTCAAAATTATTCAAAGATTGATGTTGTCATTTATGGGCATTATGATGATGAAATTATCTTAGAATTTATAAATATATATATCACTTTATTTGTACTGCCAAATCAACAGGCCATGGCCAAATTACAGACAGACAGTTCCTAAAGCAGTTCATTTGGTGAATATGGAGATATTCAACCATATTCTATTGAATATGGCATTCTTCATTGTATTTATATATTTGTTTGTTATACATGGGTATGAAGAGGTGTTGATACTTGTAGTCATGATGACTGATATTTTGTTTCCTTATTATCATGGCCTACCACATGTGAAAATGTTTTTACTGTTTTTTTGCATGATTTCATGTGAAAATGTCTACATGTTACACATGGCTGTGAAGGGAATTTTCATTTATAATATCACGAAAGTTTCAACTATTTCCGGAAATTTTCTCGAGAACACTAATTTTCTAAATATTCCTGGATATTAATTGAAGCTAAAGGGATAGTGGATAAGAAAATTTCACACTGGAATATCATTTAAAAAATTACTTGGATAATGACGATTTTTGATGGTTTTGTAAATTTCGAAATTCCAAGTTTATTTATTTATTTATTTATTTATTTATTTATTAACGGGTGAACCCAGTGTAAAAAAAACATGAATATATATAGCCTATACAACATATCACAGAACATTGATTGATTTATACATATCTACACTTTAAATACAATGAACATTAAAAATAAAAACATTACATTATTGCAAGAATGCGTTTGGCTCTTTCAGTGCCAGTGTTAAAAATGTCCCTATATACATAATATTATATGGTAAACTGTTGATAAATGAATTTTATTTATTGACTTATAGAATGAACTCAAAATAATCTGAAGTTGAATGTAAATGCCATTTAACCTATAAACGTCAAAAAATTTCCAAGAAATTTGTTTAGTTGCAATGGTAACAATATGAAATACAGGATTTGAATTGATCGAAAATGTTTGATGTGAAATTTTCACCTCTATTCAATGGTATAGAAAACAAATATGGCGCCCGTGAGAAAAACAAAAGTTGCATGAAAAATCTCTGAAAATATTGAAGATATAATATTTCTGACAATCCCAACTTCTTTGTCATAATTAGTTACCTGCTTACACAAAATTTCAATATTTTTTCACTGATATTAACCAAGAAAATATATAAAAACGAAATCAGTGATCTTTATCAGATATTCCCATCTTTCAGGAAATAAAATCACTTATTCTATCAAAACTATTGTGAAACTATTGGTTGCTCTACCAAATGAAGTACGTTTGACAGCTCTAACCTGTTTGGAGAATCTCCTGCGTGTCACTGACCAAAAAGCCGAAATAACGAAAATTACCAAACAATGGTTTTCACTATTTGGGGATGATCCAATGGATATTGTTCTAAGGTATTCAAAAAACCCATTCCCCGATATAAGACTGGCGGGATTTGGAATTTTGCATGCCATCTCTGGTCAGCAATGGGGACAAGAAGCTATCAATAATACACCAGGTATGTAGCCCATGTGAATGAATCATCTATCATTGTCTTCATGCATATTTGAATACACAATTCAAGACATGCCAGGAGTTAACTGTAGTCTGCAATTAATAAGTTTTTGTCTGAAAATCCTTATTTATCATTACCTATGAAGCATACACATATTTTCTCCCAAAACCCAAACAATTTCAAATTTTTTACACTTGCTTCCATTTTCTTTTGATTTTCCATTTATTTCATTTCATTTTCTTCATTTTCAATTCATTTCCTTCTATTTCATTCATTTTCAATTTGATACCTTCAATTTTCTTCCATTTCCTCATACGTCAATTAGTTTTCTTTAATTCCCAGAATTACACACCTCTTATTTACTCACATATCCTTTCAAACCATATCAATATCTTCATTTTTCAGCTCGTTTTTTATTAATTTCTCTTAAATTTTCTTCATTTCCAATGGTTATCATTTCTCAAATTATTCATTAATTGCCTTATCTCATTTATTTTATTAATTTCCTCTAATTTCATGTAATTTTCTTTCATATCCTCTTATTTCCTTCCAAAATTATTCAAAATAATTATTGAAGACCATTCAACTTCACTGAAGACATTACATGAGAGTCAGTTAAGCTTTAGACAGAACTGTTCTATGATCCAAAAACTAGTGTCAAACATTATAAATGGTTTTAAAGCAGGTCAACATAGTATAGTTAACATGTGTGACTTGAGCAAAGTATTTGATTGTATCTCAAAGTTACTCCTTTCAGTCAAGATACATTTTTATAATCAACGAGAAGGAGCTCTGAATTAAATCCAACATCATGTTTAAATGAAAGGAAACAATCTGTCATATATGGACCACTGTTTTTCTGGAATTGGGAATATCTAGTTTGGTGTCCCTCAGGGCACTATCATCGGGCCTCATTCATTTACATCATCTATGTACAATGATATTTTTCAATAAATGAGTCCAACTAAATGTATTTTTTATACAGAATGTACTATTTGAGTATCCGATAACAAAATGACAAATATTTCCAAACAAAAGCTGGAGGTTAATTTCCATTTCAATTACTTCTTATTATATTGGATGATTAATTTTAGTTGTCTGATTATATTGAGCATTTCTGTAAAGAAAATCCATTTATTTCATTTAATTCATCTTATTTCTCATCATCATTTTCCATCTGTGGGAAATGTGTAAACTATAACATTTGATGAAACAATTGTAGGTCTTGTGGAGTTTTTGTTGGACAGAAATTCGGAAACGACGAAAGAATGCAAGGAGATGAAATACGAAATCGTGAAAGTATTATCTACTAGCAGTATTTTTGATGAATCAATTTCAAGCAGACTTCGAACATTTCTGAATGAAGGACCATACTATGTGCAAGCTATAACTGAAATAGCCATAGAAGGAGATGAGTAAATAGAGGTTGGTGAGACTTCTGACATTTTATTTATTTTATTTGTCTATCAATCAATCTAGGTTCATTTTGATAAGCAATAAAGAAACTTGTATTATAATTTATCAAAATCATTGCTCTTTAGTTTTCTACCTTAAAGCCGGATTTTCCTCCAATGCAAAAAAATAATGGGTAATTGCTGAAAGAGATTTCAGGCAAATGATATTCTCAATGCTAATTAGAATGTGATTCTTTTGAATGAAGCTATGATATCATTTGTGTTGAATCTCTGTACTGAAAATAATCAACTCTTCTCATTCATCAGCAGCTAAGGCACACATTGTCATAAATATAAACAATTTGAATATTCAATTACCTTACTGAATACAATCCTACTTCTTCTATCTGAAGAAGAGTACCAGAAAATAAAATATCCAAGACTAAATGATGTTATACATATCTTTCATTCAACTGGCATTGATAATTATGATTTCAGTTCATGTTCATTCTAAACTGACGTTGCCATAGCTAGTATGCACTCAGTCACCGTACCTGGTAACTATATGTATAAAAAAGAAGGAACAAATTCTTATAAAATGTTTTATTTAATGAATAAATATAACACTAACTACAACAATATTACGTTTAACCATTGGTTTAACTTGCTTTTAGCAGTTCATTTCAATAATTTCTCAGATATTTTTTGCCATTTTAAACAGTGATACAAAACAAAACACTACCTAATCTTAATTTTGAAATCATTCAAAATTTACAGTGATTTTCAAAATTCTCCATTGATAACTGAATGTCAATTTGCAGGTATCAAAATTATGCAATTCCTCAATCATTAACTTACCCGCCTCTGAACAATAACACACATATAGAGTCAGTTCTGTCACTATGATAGACATTGTAATGACTTGAAAATTATGTTTCAATAGAATCCCCTAACACGTTTGCAAATTGGCCATATTTCACCTGGTGAATGATTTTTTCGTTGTGTTGGTGATGTTTGATGTTGGTAGCAACTGCTGTCATTCATAACTTGTTGAATGTATAATGCCATTTATCAATTAGTTTTTAAATGTTCTTCACTTAATGATTAACAATTCACCAGTTTTTGAGCTAATAGAAATAGAACAATTTGACAAAGTACGCTCAATTGATGGAATCAGAAATATTTTTCCAATTACGACTGGGATACTTGGTGTACTTGTCTATTCATCAACTGTTGGCAAGATAAATCATCAGGCAATCAACCAGTAGTTGACAATGCTTCAAAACCTATTATCTACTCATTGTCTTTTCCTCTGGTAGGTTATTTGTTTACTCCAAACCTGCTCATTAAATCTCATTAAAAAAACTAAATCACTTGATATGACTGGTACCTCGTAAAAAAATATATACACACAAGTCCTCTCTCCTCTACCATTACGCTATAATACAATCAAGAAGCGATCGGCGAATCCTTCTTCTTCATCACCGCCACCTTGGATATTATCCTCAGGAGGGACACAATAGGCGCCTCGAAGGCGACAGAAATGAAGAACGAGAGGAAGTAGGCCGCTACAGCCTGTCCCAGATAGATGACGATCGTGACGGTGCTGCCCAGATGGAGCGGGCTGTCCATGCTCATCACCATGGCTCTGATGGTTATAGGGTGGATCAGGTAGGCGCAATAGGTGACTCTGCTGAAAGGGTAGAGGATGGTCGCCGATAGGAGTCTGTTTACCACGCCTGGAAAATGAATAGCATGGTGCATTAGGGACCATCTTTTATTCACCGGTGGCTCCATCAATCCACCAACTGCGTTCATGTATTCTTTGGTGGATTCCAGTTTGACGTAACCACGCGTTCATTTATTACTGTTGTGTGAACCGAAAATGTAGACCATTCAACCGATGTACAGAGATGGTTGAAATTTTGATGGCTTTCGGAATAACAGTGACAGCATAACCTCAAAAAACTAAAAACTAAAGATAGGTTGCGTGCACGATGACCGACCCTGGAGGTAAAATATTGAAACACAACCTCACTTTTCTGTAAAACATTGAAACACAACCTCACTTTTTTTATTTGTTTACAGAGGAATCAAAGGATTGATTTTCACAATACTTTGGCATACGAATCGTGTTTTTTGTTCTATTGATTAATTCAAGCATGCCTTCTCATTGTGTTGGTGTACAATGCACAGAAAATGCAGCGAGAGACCAAGGAATATGATTTTTCAGGTAAATTGTAATCTCACATAGTTTTCATTATGAAATTTTGTCATTTCTTATTAAAATTCCTCCTGCCCCTTCTGCAATAGAAGCTAATACTGCTAATAGATTGAAGATGTCTACAACACACATGATCATATTTCGTCAGCATGTCAGACCAGTCCTCCCCTTTGATTGCATGGATCCAATCTTCTTGCATTATTTTAGAAATTTCACGAGTATTTCTATTAGCTCCTACTGCAGAAGAAATTCCGATGAGAAATCAGAGAAATTACCAAATTTCAAAATGAAAACTATATTATGTGAGTGACTATAGTAGGTACTTACTTTTAAATCATAATGTAACAACCAGATTCCTTCGTCTCCCGCTGCATTTTTTATGCATTGTACAACAGCACAATGTGATGGCATTCTTGAATTAATGAATAGCCGAAAGACACGATGCGTATGCCAAAATAATTGGGAAAAACTATTTCAATCACTTATAAACAAATAAGAAAAGTGAGGTTGTGTTTCATTGTTTCACCTCCAGGGTCGGTAATCTGACAGTTCCTGGAAGCTGTTTGCCATTTGCATAAGAAAAAATATAGATGCATTAATCGAAATCGGCCTAGAATATGAAATAAAAGAATAGCTGCATTATTGACACCAACAGAAATTTAAGAAATTTCAAGTGGTAGGTATTTCTTTCATTCCCATCATGAATGTCAAGAAGTTAGTGCAAACATTCAGGAAACTTGAGTACCAACAGAGAATTCTTATAAATGACTCTATCCATATCATCATAATTTAATGCAATGTTTTGTATAGGTTGTTGAGAATTTTCAACCTATCTCGTCTACTCCCCAACATTAACAATATTTCATCCTCGGAACTATCAGAAGAACTGCTGGAACTTTTGGATCTGGAGACAAGGACTCCAATAACACTTTTAAAACATCATTTTACATTTTACAGTTTAGTTTTCGCCAATTCTGAGCTTCAGATTGAAAACAATCTAAATCCCCATCGAATCACGAAAAGAAAAATAAATAAAGGAAAAAACAGTTGTGATTGTCATGTCAAATAACTGCGTTTTTTTTTTCAACACTGATGACTCCAACAATTCGATTACTCAGAGAGTGACGGCACTTCCATCAATTATGAAAATGTGGTGTAAAAAAGAACATGCCTATTTTTAAGTTTGGAGGGTGTTTCGTTATTGTCGGCTGCCGGTTGATTTTGAATAGTTCGACGCGCCAAAGAAGTACAGGGACAAAAGGGAGAGAATGAAGACGTTCACAGTAGAGTAGCAAAACTGTCAAATACATAAAGGGACTCTAGCGTTCAGTTCTCTGAGCCTAGAGTATCTAAACGTGCTTTCCAGTCACGAATGACATGACTGACTGCACTTTTGAACTGATACCACCATTTCTAGCGAACGCTTATGATTCCGTTTTTAAATTTACAGTGAGTTGATGATCACAACATTTATATTGTGTTCTGGGCTCACATTCTATCCGCTGGTCATCTTTTAGGAGCCAGATCATACCTATATTTTTAGAGTAGGGACACTCAACCAGCACGGACAGTCAGACAACCACAAATGATTCGAAACAAGGACATGAATATATAGGGCAGGCAAGAAAAATGATTCTGAAATGGACCGTATTTTACCGTAGAAATCAAAGCGTCTGATATCACGCAAACCACGGGTTATAAAAAAAACTGCCAACTTTTGAAAATATTTGTATGTAAATATGATCAGTAGTTCAACTTCTTGCTATAGAATGCATAAGTTATTGCTTTAATTTCGTATAACAATAGAAATACAGGCATATGATTGAAAATATCGTCCGATATAGACCCGGTTGACGGTGCCTCACATTCTAGTGGCGCTAACTAAGGATAATAGACCTTATTGAGCATTGACATGACATGACATGACGTTGAGTCTCTAATGATTTTGTCTGACAAAAGTGGTTTCAATGCGATAATATGAAGATCTCATCACCACAAGTTTTTATTTCCGGAGAGGAGCAATTTGTAAAAAACGATTGAAAATTTCTCAAAAGATCGAATCTTCAAACCAATCAATTCGACACCATGATTTTCCTGCAGAAAAATAGGTTAAGATGATAGAAAAATATAGGCTTTATACACATTGGCTTACCTTGGGATAAGAGCATATTGCAAGAATCGATTGAAAATACCTCAAAAAATCTAATCTTCAAACCAATCAATTATTCATATTGATTTTCCCAGAGAAGAATAGGTTAAGATGATAAAAAAATGGCTGTATACACATTTACTTAAATACCTTGGGAGAAGAGCTATTTGGGGAAAACGATTGAAAATTCTTCAAAAAATGGTTTCCAATATTTATATTAATACTTTTAGAGTGGTTGGGCACATTTTGATAATAATAACATACCTCCATAACCAGTTACACAAGCAACTACAATCCATGCCAATCCAAATGCCCATGCAGAATGACTAAGGGAACTATAAGCTGCCCCCATCCATGGACTCAAAGTTGTTTCGTATAGGCCGTAGACCAAGGCAAGCAGAATTGCTATAGATGCTGTCCATCCAATAGCAATAACAACCTATAGAACGAGAAGAAGAGTTCAAATCATGAAAATGTCACAATAGGAACAAACGGTTGTCGGTTGATCCATTGTCGTTCTAGATGACAACCTAGTTAGGTAGTTAGTAGGCAAGAGCTATAATACTTCCTCGCGTACTATGTCGCTTACTAGGTTTTCATTTAGATCGACAATGGTTTATCATGAATATACCATGTATGCAGATGATACAGTACTTTTATATGAAGGCAAGAATCCTTCAGATTTAGAAAATATGATAAATGAAGACTTGAAAATATTTTAAAAATGGCTCCAATCTAACCTTTTATCGATAAATACTAACAAAACAGAATATATGATTTTTCACCAAAAAAATAAACAAAAAATTCACGTCAACCTTAAAATAGAAAATGAACTCTTGGAACAAACTGACCAGATAAAATATCTTGGTATTTGGTTTGATGACAGGTTGAAGTGGGACAAACATATTGATGTTCTGACAAAAAAAATATCTCCAATTATTGGTGCATTGAGAAGATGTCCCAAACTTGATATTAAAATTGCAAACATGATTCTCTACTCTCATATACTGATTCGTATCAACTATTTAATAAATGTTTGGGGATCTTGTTCAAAAAATAATTTCAATAAAATATCAACATTATATAGAAAATCGTTAAAAGTATTGTATCGTCTCCCATTTGATACACCAATCAATCAATTGTATGAAATAACAAATACGTATTCTTTAGATGAAATATATAGAATTGAAACTCTCAAAATATCATATAATATCATAAATAAAAAATTGAAGTCGAATATTATTTTGATACGGAATTCCGAAATTCATAATCATGAAACTAGACAATATAACTTGTTCCATCTTGACGCCGCTAGCTCCCTAATCGGACAAAAAAGATTCACTTATTCAGCCTTAACTGAATTCAATAAACTACCTGGTAATATAAAAAATTGCAGAAATATAGGTATATTCAAAAATGAAGTAAAAAAACTGATTATTTCTCAGCGGACTGGATAAAATTAATCATGCCATTTTTTTATTTTTTTTTATTTACAAATATTATTCTTTGTTTGCCAATTTACAGTTGTTGATATATTTTGAATGATGCTATGTTTACCTATAGGTATATAATTATGTACTTCCTTATACCAGAGCCTATTCTGTCTGGAAGTTATTTGTTCAATAAATAAATAAATAAATAAATAACATTACCTTTGGCATGTGGATCCTGCAGTTTTTCTTGAATAACAGCCACCCAGTGCACATTCCTATGAGATATGGCCCCAACCTGGTCCAAGGTTTGTCATAAATTTTATCGAATAGAGCTAGAGGGTCATCCGAGCCTGGCATGTGACTATTACTGTAGGCTATGTATCCTGTAGTAATCCAAGAGCTTAGCATGAAGGTTATCAGAAGAGAAGCTGCACTTTTGAAGTGGCTAAAACAAATTCAAAATTAGTAGGTAGTCATCTCTGGAAGGAGTAATTGATACATCAAATTAAGACGTTGAAAAGGGGAGAGAACTAATTTGTTCCTTCCTTTAATAGAACCATCACTCAAATACCTTTCAAATTCATATTTTTTTGAATTGAATAATGCCACGGCGATTTTCAAACGGCTAAAAGTTTACCGCAAGTAAAAACTGACATCACGATTTCGTAAGTAGGGGCAGACCATAGCACATTCTCAATTCTGGTATTGGTGCTATTCCTAATTAGTCATAAAAAATCAATTGTCTCAAAATATTCCGTCATCTGTTGTGGCTTATTGCTTATAATGCATTCGTGTTAATGATATACAGTCTGTCCAAGATAAGGTTGAACAGCATGGGGATCTCGAAAACGGTGAGAGATACGAAATCGGTTAAATGGGGAAAAAGTTGCGCATTCGGAGGCTCATATCAAGAGCCTTCGAAAATTTTGAAAATTATTTTTAGTTTTTGAGTTATATCGAAAAAAGTGAATTTTTGGAATTTCTATTTTTTTTTTCTCCGTTATTATTAGAGATACAGCAAAACTGAGAATACTTTTTCATAGCAACTTTTGATGACGGTCAACGTGGTGATACCGATTTTTTCATGCGACGTTTCGTATTCGTGGAACCATCATCAACTTTTGTTTTTTAAATACGGTCCTGATAATTTTTTCACAGATTCTAAAAGGTTTTTTTATTCTGAATTCAACCATGTATTATACAAGGTTGTTCATTTGTGTTTCGACCTATTTTTGGCCATCATCAATGTTTTTTCGAAACTCCAAAGGAAAAATGCCATCAGTTCCACTTATTTTGAAGGAAAATTAGTCAACACACTAATACCTCATCAACTGGTTTCAATCAACAACCCATTTCATTTTGCGGAAACAAAAATTCCATCCATACAAATTCAGAATATGTCAAGCGCTAAAACCAGGAGATGACGAAAGGCGCAAGACATCCTGTGAGTGGTATACCAGGAAATGTTAAAATTTTGCAGATTTCTTTCGAACAATCATCTGGACTGATGAAAGCATGGTCACTAATCATGGTAGCTTCGATAGGAAAAATACACATTATTGTTCACGAGAAAATGAACATTTATACATTACAGCGAGACACCAACACCGTTTCGGCTTTAATATGTGGGTTGCAATATTTGGTACACGAATTATTGTTCCTTCTATTTACCATGAAACACAGACTTCCGAACGTTATAGAAATTCGCTTGAGAATCATCTTGAGGAAGCTCTGGATGATTTACCGATTGCGGAAGTTCAGAACTCTGTTGGTTTCAACAAAATGGCGCTCCGGTACATAATTCCAGAGAAGTCCGTGCGTTTTTATCCCTTGGCCGGCGCGGTCGCCTGATTTAACACAGCTGGATTTTTTCTTAGGGGATATATCGAACTTTGTACACGCAAATAACTTTGAGGATGAAGAAGAACTAAGGGACAGTGTCTTCGAAGCATTCAACAGAATAACCCCAGAAATGCTTAGCAATGTCTTAGAAACAACTGTGAGAAGAGGATATCTTTGGTCAGAAAATAATGGTTATCATCTTGAACATTTGTTATGAATGTCTCTGTAGGAATTGTCAAAGTTAAGTTGTTAAAGTAATTCGTGTAAGAATTCATCAACAATTTTAAACGCTGCATTGATCGAATGATGTAGTGAAATATTTTTTATTCACTTTTCAGTATTGAATAACTAATCCATCAAGTTTGACACTGAAATGATAAGAAATAAGTGGAACTGATGACTTTTTTTCTTTTGGAAGTTCGAAAAAACATTGATGATGGATAGAAATAGGTCGAAACACATTCGAATCACCTTGTATAGTACATTGTTGAATTCAGAATAAAAAAACCTTTCAGAATCTGTGAAAAAATTATCAGGACCGTATTCAAAAAACAAAAGTTGATGATGGTTCCACGAATACGAAACGTCGCATAAAAAAATCGGTATCACCACGTAAACCTCATCAAAACTTGCAATGAAAAAGTATTTTCAGTTTTTCTGTATCTCTGATAATAACGGAGAAAAAAAATAAAATAGAAATTCCAAAAATTCACTTTTTTCGATATAACTCAAAAACTAAAAATAATTTTCAAAATTTTCGAAGGCTCTTGATATGAGCCTCCGAATGCGCAACTTTTTCCCCATTTAAGCGACTTCGTATCTCCTACCGTTTCCGAGATCCCCATGCTGTTCAACCTTATCTTGGACAGACTGTAGTATTATTATTATATTAATTCACACTAAAGACATTTGAGGGTAAACGTGACAACACGGTATCACGAATTGTGGGCGATGCCTTGTCAGTTCTCAGCATTCAGCACATTGTTGCCAAGTCTTCAACATCAACATGATATTTTGTTATGTAGTAAAGATATTTAGACATGCTGGTTGCTCGAAAAAGTGAAGAATGAACTATTATATCATGGCTTCCTTATATTATGTTTCATCTCCTGTTTTATTCAACGACAGAGGACACTAATCTTTTTGATAAATTGATTATAATTGGTGACTCGATAACCATGCTTCATGAACGGAAATGGAAGATTATCTGACGATTAACGAAACAGCATAAAAACTGGTCACCATTTATTCGACGAAGAGTAATTGCTTTAGCCGATTCAATCGGCCGATTTTCAAGTGCCAAGAATCAGGGCTAGATAAACAATCCGAATCCAAGGGTTTCATTGAACAAAAGATCATGATGGGGTTGAATGATTCTAGTTGGTTTTGGTTGCAAGTGGATCCATTGTAAGTGAATTTCATTGACATATTATTACAGAGTCGAAGCTTGGTTATGGTTCAAATTATCTTAATAGGCATATTGAGAAGGAGATAGTAGTTTGGGAATCCATTTAGTGTAAAGAGAGTGTAAAGGCAGAGTTTATTGAGAAGTAACTTCTTGTTACTCTTCTAGATATTGTAGCGAGTGCATTCTTCAGCTGGAGAAGCCAGTTGAATCCATCGTCGCCATCAGATAGCTGTATTTGTCTAGTGAGGCATAGTTTGGGGAGACGATTATCGTCCATATGGCCAGTATTTTGATATAGGTACCAATTCAGAGTCCATTTGAAAATATGGACTCTGCCAGTTTCTCTTCAAAGAATATAGTCGGGGGGGTGTTTGTAGGGAGAAGGAGAGGCCCTTTCAGAAACCGAGTTTGTACTTTTTCCAAAATCTCAGCATAGCGTAAGTACCATACTGGGGTCCAATTGGTCATTGTACTTAAAACCATAGATTGGATGAATTCTTGTTGACAAAGATTAGTCTTTTGTATTGTACCCTTTCTGAAATACAGTTGTAAAATCTGAATTTGAAGTTCTGTCTGTATTAAAGGTGAAACTACTAACGTCTTCATGCCCTCATAATCATGAAAGTTCACCCTTATGTCTATGCTATGAAGAAAAATTGAATACTTAGTCCATGCTCTAAAAAATGTAATCAATAATACTTATTACCTTGTAGCTAGAATGAGCATTACTGCACCAATGACATAGAACTGAGTGTCATCAGATAAATACCAACTCCATAGCATGCACTGAAAAAGTAGAAATGGTGATACTGCAAATGTAACTTCATCAGTTTCCTTACCATTTCTTCGACTGGAAATAGAGTATTGATATATAAGACGTTCCTCCACCAATAATTAGGGCAATTCACGTGATCCATAGTCGGAGGCTCAAATATCGAATTGTAATAAAACCATTTCATCGACACCTCAACCAAACCAACGGTAAATAGGTAAGGCACTGTCAACCTGAAACATTAAGGATTATATGTATCCAGATACGTATTTTGATGCGTTCAACTTGCCAAGTGACAAGTTTTATCTGGGACACGCTGAATGTATATGGCGAAATTCACACTGTAAAAAAATTGAGAAATGGCTTTATTCCAATCTTCTTTCTCCCAATTCTAATAAGACTCAATATATGATTTTTCGTCAAAGAAATAAACAAAATATTGATCTGAATATTAGAATAAAAAATGAACGTTTGAAACAAACTGCCCATACCAAATACCTTGGTATTTGGATTGATGAGAAATTAACATGGGGAAAGCATATTGACATCCTCATAGGAAAAGTATCTCCCATTATTGGTGCTTTGAGAAGATGTCCTAAACTTAGGCTATATTCCGAATTCAACTGGTCAGTACTGTAAGTTGATCCACTGACTCTGCTGAAAATCTGTGTTCCGAAATATAAAATCAAAAATTCACTACTGTAATTCGGGACACGTTTTCATGGTTTTCATCAGTAGTAGTTTCTCGTTCATCTGAACTAGATGTTTAGCCACCTACTTGTTATAAATTTTGGAAATTTAATATTCAACATGGAAGAGAAATCGATTCTTGTATCCTCTATAGTTTCTACGATTGTTGACGATGGCGATTCAAGCTGGAGTGATGAAGAATACTTGGACATTTTGTTGCCATAAATTTCTCATGATGCACCAGATTGAGAATTGAGATTCATGAAAATCGCAATATGCCTCTAATAATGATGAATTTTAGGAGACATTCCAGGTTTATTTAGTTTTTTTAGCCAATGCTGCTCCTTTCCTTACCTGCTCTACTACTTCATACTCAAGTTATTTTCTGATATTGAGAATCATTTCATTAATAACGGAAATGAATGTTACATTCCTTCCCCCTCTAAAATATGACAGTTCACTGAAGCCACACTACCTTTTGATACTCAGCAATTCCAGCAGAATGTTGAGTCGAAATATCTGGAATGAATAGTATATCTGCTGACAAGCATCTGTCACTTCCAGTGAATTTTTTGATTTCGGAATGGAAAATCAGCAGATTCAGTACTGTCAGTTGAATTCGGAATATAGCCTTAGTACATATACATCAAATATCATTCTCTATTCACATATACTCAGTAGAATTAACTATCTCATAAATATTTGGGGATCTTGTTCCAAAAATAGTTTCAACAAAATTTCTGTTCTATATAAAAAGGCATTGAAAGTATTGTATCGTCTTCCATATGATACTCCAACGAATCAACTGTATAAGGAAACAAACACATTTTCTTTGGAAGAGCACTTTTTAATCAATACTCTCAAAATTTCCTATTATATCATCAACAAAAAGCTTAAATCAAATTTTATATTAATCAGGAATTCCGAAATTCATGATCATCACACTAGACAATATAACTTGTTTCATCTTGAAGCTGCAAATTCTAAACTTGGGCAAAAAAAGTTTACACATGAGGCGATTTCGAAATTCTATAAATTGCCAGATGATCTCAAAAACAGCCCAAATATTATGCAATTCAAAAATAAAGTTAAGAAATATATTTATATGCAAAGGAATGATCAAAGCTGAAAGACTATGAATTTCCTTTTTTCTTTTTTTTTTCACTGTTTCTATTTTTCCCCTTCTTGTTCACTATAATATGACTGTATCTCAATGATATGTAAGTTTTGTACACTATTTGAAATTTCAATTATACAACAGTCGATAATACTTCATGAATGATCTTATACCAGGAATTACTGTCTGATCATTCATGTCATTCCTACTAGAAAATTAATTTTACTTTATATATAATTTGTATGAAATGTATCAATGAAGAAGAGAATGTAATGCAATAACTGAAATAAATAAATAAATATCTCACCTCGCGAATCTGTAAGCGATCAACCCGATGAAATGCAAAAACCCAGCAACAAACCCATTTCCTTTATTCAGTGGGTCCAATTTTCCTTTGGCGTTTGTCCTAAAGTACAGAAAGGACACCAGTAATCCACTGGTAAAGAAGAATGTATCTACACTGAATGTTCCATTTGTAACTGTTTGGAAAAGAAACTCTTTCTGAACAATCCTTCTGTACTCCATGTTATCTAGAAAACGGAAGTAGAAGCATTGTATTAGATAACCATCTGTATTGTGAGGCGGTAAGATTACTTTTGCATAGTATCTTCTCGAGATTTGTGGATGTCTATTTCTTCACTCGGTGGCAATAACCTAGCTAGTGGTTCTCAACAATTTTTTTCATGATTCATCAACATGGAAAATTCAAGTTTACATGGTGGTTTTTGACGCCACAAAGACTCCTAAAACTGAGTAAGCCTTTTCCTAAAGTTTTCGTGCATTCTTTGAAGCATTGCCACATGAATTTCACTAATTTGAATTCGAATGTGGTTTTCGAGGGGTCTCCACTGTCCAGAGATGATTCTTGTTCACTAGGGATTTTTCACACAATTCTGTCACCAAAAAGAAATTCGTGTGATAAAACAATGTCCGCATACTAGGAAGAGTACAAAGAAAATAAAAAATACTTCCTGGATTCAACTCTCACTGGTTCGTGTATTTGACAGATGTCTCTAAACAAACAGCCAGGTTATAGGTACAAAATGAGTCCCAAAAATAATCAAAATCTGCTTGAAACAATTATAAAGGCGAATGGACTCATTTTCTTCATTACTTAAATAGAATCATCACTCAAATACCTTTCAATTTCATATTTTTTTAGTATTTTTCGGTCGATTTTTGGGCTCTGAAATCATCAATAATGCCACGGTAATTATAAAACGGATAGAAATTTACCGCGAGTAAAAACTGACGTCACCGTTTCGTAAGTAGGGGCAGACCATAGCACAGTTGCCATGTGTTGAGATTCGATTGGGAACTTCAGAAATATTAGTTATTCAAACATTCATGAATTCTCAATTATGTATTGGTAATATTCCTATTAAGCAATACAATACATAGAGGACATTTGAAGCGGTGAACGTGACAACACGGCGCGCACGATTTGTGGGCGTGGTCTTGTCCCTTCGCAGTATTCAGGACAATGTTGCCAAGTCTTCAACAATAACATGTTATTTTGTTATGGAGTATAAGAAATATTTGGACATGCTGGTTGCTCGAGAAAGACATGAATAAACTATAATATCATTCCTCCTATTATGTTTTATTCAACGAGAGGATTCTTACTACTTTTTGATAACTTGATTATGATTGGTGACTTGACAACCTTGCTTCGTGAGTGGGAATGGAAGATTATCTGACCAATAACAAAACAGAATAAAAGTTGACGTATGTATGATATGAGCTCCGAAATTCAATAATTTCGAACAACGCATACACTCATCATTTACATTGAAAAAGTGTCAAAAGTGTTGCAAAAATTAATTTAATTCATTATACGTCCACTCACCGATTGGTTTGTTGACCACCTCGGGAAAATTTCGATACCAGAGGCCGGACACTTTGTGATTTTCGCGAATTATCGAGCTGTCGCATAGTTTTCATAGCTATGGAGTTATGCCCCTGAGCCTTTCAATGACTACGGAATCAAGTTCCTATAAATTGTCTCAAATCTATATACTTCTCTTTGATCTATTCTAAACTTAAATATTTGATTTCTGTATGGGGTTCAACAAGACTATCAATTATAAAGCCTCTCAAAACTCTTCAAAATAAAATTATCAAATGTATATACAGACTAAATTATTTGGAACCTACCATCATGAACCTTTACAAAAGAAGAGAGTTATTAGATATAGATTCACTATATAAATTCAAATAAATGTCGTTCATTCATTCCGTTAAACATTGTCAAAAGCATTGAAACTTGGTTTTCCAAATTAATAGTAATCACCACAACCATACAACTAGACAGATCATTTTTTCTGTCAAGAAAATTAAATCAGATATTGGTAAAAACACTATCACAATGGGATAATGATACAATACAATTCACTACCAAATAACGTGAAGCTGATTCATAGGATTGAAAAATTTAAAAAGGACTTCAAGAAACATCTATACCCCTCTGATATTGACATCTTATCTCATTATTATAGTTTTCTTGTACAACTATACTATAGTTTTCTATTGCACTGAGGAAAATTCCTATTAACCATAGTCAGAAATCGAATTACCCCAGCAAGAAACTCTAATAGCATAGGGGACAAGCGAGTGATTACCTGTGATTATGAAGTCGACTTTGCTGATTATAACCCACCTGCGATTATTAGATATAGAACCTTGCTGCCACTAGCGAGTGCATCTGTATATTGCTATTAGACGATGTTTCTGTAGTAGATATCTGACTTTGCTACCGCTATTGAGTGCATCTAATAATGGGAGTAGGGCAATGTTATAATGGTAGGTAGCGAACTTTGCTACTCTTGATGGGTGATCATATAGATACTTGCATGACCTTCTTGCTATAGTTATTCAGTTATTTTCCAGGATTGTTGTCATCAAGAAAGGTAAAATTTTGACTGATATCCAATTTCACTTCCCATAATTTTCACCCTGATGTTTGGTATGAATAGATTTATTAATTCCTAAAGAAAATTTGCAACCTTAGGAAGAACAAAAGGTTCTTGAGTGGTACCTAACAGCTGATGAGTCAACTGAGAATCATTTTCAATTGAACTTGAAAAAAACAAGATTTCTTCTTGAGTGTGAGTCTTATTTTACTGTCTTCTTTATTTTATTTTCTCGAATATATTTATGTATTCACCATGTTTCCTGCTGTTGATTGATTGATTGATTGATTTCTATATATTGCTGCTCCCTTTCATCAAATACTTCCCAGAGTTTTTCAGTTAGACAGTTAATTATTTCTACCTAACTATGCAATCGTAATTTTACATCCTCCAGTAATTATTTGGTACGAAGGTATGATATTGTGTTTCCGAAGAATTTGGTTTACCAGAATATTTGAAAGCGATGATACAAGTATGTCCCAAGATTACCCAGGCCATACTGATAGCTTTGAGCCCATGTATGACAGAAATGGTGTCGCTTCCTACGCTTTGATCGCATATGGTTCTGATGTTCATCCTTGCCGAGAATGCTAGTAGCATTTCTCTCAAAATGAACCCTGAAAATGAGTAATTAAATTGGGTTATCATCAATTTTGGTTTCATAAAAAGTTTGGCACTTGAATAGATACGTACTACTGATTGGTTCGCGTGATGAACTATCGTTACTATTTCCATTGAGTTCCAATTGGTGGTTTTCAATGAGATTGTTGTTATTGTTACAATTATTGTTCACTATGTATAAGCCACATTTTCCTGGAATTAAAAAAACAATTCGCAAATTACGAAAATGATTTCAATAGGTGTTAGGTATTGAGTTTGATTGAAAAAAGTGGGTTTTCTCACCGTTCTTTGTTTTCATATCTGGCATATTGCTATCGAATTTTCCATTGAAGCAATTCTTCGCCTTCATTTTAGCAATTTTCATATTTTCCAAATAGAGATCGTATCCAGTACCAGCAACAATCAGGAAAATAACTATCAATGCTGCTATACTGAAATGTAATGTTTATCAAACATATATCAATGACAAAGAATAAGGCCATAATAATTCAATTTTTGTGTGGTTCTGTCCTGTATGTAGGTATTTATAAGTGCCTACCTATACCTTTGTAACAAAAATTAATTAATTAATATTGAAGACATTTTTCAAAAAAATAATGAAGCATTACCTACTACTAACTCGGACAAGATCAAAAACCATTATACTTACCATAACGCTATAAATGTTGTGTCTGTCCAAATGTTGTATCTGTTGTGTTCTGATCTGACTGCCTCTACTTTGACGGTTACTTTTCTGGATGAAGCAGATGTTTCTTCCATGATTTTTTTGACATCCTGGTCTGTACAAGCGTGTGGTAAACATAGACCCATATGCATTACTCTCTCCTGGAAATATAAGGACAAATGAAAATTACGAAGAAGAAACCTCAGATCATCCCTCTATGATTTAAAGAAGAAACCATCGTCTGTCAGAGATAGATCAAACCAATAAGGATGCTAGTTGAAATCAATAATGAACTCCATTCATCCAAGGATCAACAAATTGAGTGGATCAAAAACTGATTGAGCCAATGACCATTATCTGCCGGAGATTACAAAAGTTATAATGATCCTGAAATGCTGATGCACTGAATATTGGGGTCGATGTCAGTTGACCGAAAGTTTATTCGTCGAAAGTCAATTCGTCGAAAGTGAATTCCTCGAAGTCAATTCGTTGAAAGTCAATTTGCCAAATATGCCAATTGGCCGAATAGGTCAGTTGGACTAAATTGGGTCAATTCGTCGAATTTCATATGTTATAAGATAATTCGAATGTCTTTCCGAAGTTCTTCAAGTTCTTCTTCCAGATGCCCTATAGATTATAAAGAGATAGGTCGTTTATGAGAAGACTAAGTCGAATACCAAATTTTGCCATTGATGTTTAGAATGTTTATGAACGATTCAAGAATGATCTGCCTAGATCGAATAATGCCTCAGAAGCATGGCATAGAAGATTAGGAAGTTTGATTTCTTGTAGTCATCCTTCAATGTGTTATAATATATTGAACGGTATGAGAGAAGAATAATATTTTGAACGCGAAATGAAACCTACGTTGGCTGGAATGACGAGAAACGAGAAAATTCATGTCTATATAGACAAGCGAGTAAATATAAATATGTTGTAGATCATTTTGAAAATTCTGAATCTGTCGATTACTTGAGATTTATGATTTATTGCTCATAATTCCAAATTATTTGCCATTAATTAATAATTGAATAGAATATGTATCGAATCGCTGAATGATGAAGTTGTATCAGTTTGAAGCTAGTGATAGGGTTTTTGCTCAGGTTTTGATTATTCCTATTTCTTCAGCGATGGAATAAAAACTGAGATTCAACAGTGAGAGGAGAAATATAAACTCAAATAACTGTCATTGGTTGTTCATAATTCGAATGTAAAATATAGATTTCTACAAAAAATCGGCCAATTTAGTCCAACTGACGTATTCGGCAAATTGGCATATTCGGCCAATTGACTTTTTAACAAATTGACTTTCGGCCAACTGACAATTCAGGCTTGATGTATATGCCACGCTCGGCTATGAATTCAGCCGCGGCAGTCAATCTACTACTTTGCTGCCTAGTTAAACAAATAACTATTTGCACATATATCATGCACTATTTTTTCTACAAACACCATTAAAAGTCCAAATTAACGCATAACTATTTTACATTATTTATTAATTGACTAAATAACAGCCTCGAGAGTCGAGATTATCAGTTTTGAACATATACGTATTAATAATCAATATACGGATAATCTCTATCTGTTTCCATAGCGAAACATGAAGCCGATTTTTGAAGACAAATGACTATCCACAAGGAAAAGTTTTGAAACGATCAGACACATACTGCTTTGATTGAAAGGCTAGTAAACGTCATTGTCCACCGAAACGCATGTCTTTGATGACTACTATAATAGCGCATGGCGCATGCGTATCATGCCACCAAATCCTTATGGATATTCATTTGTTTCATATTTTTGGCTTCATCCTGGCACCCGTTATGATCCGTATTGTTTATTAATATGTATATGGTTTTGAATCCAATAAAATCTACTCGCTATTCATGAAAAAAGTTACCAAGGTAAACAAAAACTAAATTTGTTGATTTATCTTCCTTGACAACTAACGTCAATCAATCATTATTCTTTCTCGTTTCTTCGTTCCTCGATGGAAAGTGCCCAAGAAAATGAATTTCTTCCGCCGCAAATTGAAGAAGCTGCCAATAAAGCTGTTTTTGAATTATTGCCTATAGTCAAAGCGACAGTTCGAGTTTTCATACGAACGTTTCTTGAAATGGTGTGATCAGAAAAATGTCAGTGGAAAGAAGGCCAGTGACAGCATGCGTCAAAAATTATACTTTCACTGACGTTTGTAGAAAAAAAAATCAGTGATCTCATTACGGGTATATTTTGGTTCCATAAGTGTACCTATGTGAAAGTAGGAACCAAACATTTCGATTGAATAACGTGTATAACAAGAATTCTTACCTCAGTAGTGAAACTCGAATTCAGATGAAGACGTAGCATGAAAAATGATACTGGAAATGGAGGCCCATGTGTGTAAACTAAAGGTCCGGCTTTATATCCTGCAGGATTGCTAGGGCTGGATGGTTTAACAGATGCATCTGGTGATCTAGCCACTCTAGAATGATTCTGAAAATAAATAAAAAACCTAAGTTTTCAAAATTTTAATTATTTTTCGATTTATTTCTCTAAATTTGTTGTGATTTTCTCTATAAGTAATAGTACATTGTTTTATTAGGATCAAATGTGACACTTTGTTTGACAAGCGAGTCAAACAGAGTCACTTTTGATCCTAATGAAACATGCTATTTTTTGTGCAATCGAAATAATTGATATCTAATTAATTAAATATAAGTGAAGGTTCCACTATTTTGAGTCACTTGATCATGTGTCAAAGCAGCATATCAGCTGCGTCATCCGAAACGTTTTTAGTTCCTAGGAGTTAAACTTCAACTTCAGCTCCTAGACACTAAAAGTGTTGCATAGCAATATATACATACTATAATCATTTCATTATGTCAGTAAGAGGAACAGCAATCTCAAAAGATGAACAACTTTTGAGCCCATTGCAGAAAAAAGACAAATATCCTTTAAAATGCATAAGATCTTAAAATTATTTATTTTATTTTATTGAAAGCTCATTTTTTTTGAACTTCGAAATAAAGTATTTTCGGATCCATGTTTATATAAACTTTCCTTCATATTTTGTTTAGAGGAATCTTTCCCCGGCTTTTGTCACCAGAACTCTGAAACACCCTGTATAGGATGTGACATGTTGGTATATTGATGGTTCAACTCATAACTCATATTAGATTTTCCAAAGATACATTTGCATGACTGCTCATCATTTTTTTGACCCCTTGGTGGTAGGTTCATGTTTCATTTCTTTCTATTTCCTCCCTAGATACGCACCATGTTCTTCGAACATCATAGGAATCTCCTTTCGTGCGTTTCAAGAGATAAAAAAAATATTTTCGAATATGATCTTTTTGTGAAACTTTTGATATCTTTTGCCTAATTATTGTTCAATCTTCATAATATCATGAATTTTGATGATATAGGTTTTGAATCTAATATACTTATATACTCATTGATATAAATCTCCAACTCGTTTCCTTTCCTCGAGCGCGACTTCTATATAGAAAATGTATTTCTGATCAGATTTAATTGCGAAGAAAGGAAAATATGCTGATATTAATCTAAAGCAAATTGATCGAATAGCTTGTGAATTCCATTTCCTAACAGTATTTGATAGCTATATATGACTTTCACCTGTGGAATATCTTATCATCATGATGTTTATTCACTGTAGACACAATTTGAAAAATAATTTTTTCTATGACTGTTGAAAACTAGACCCTTTTAATGTAACATTTTTGTTGGGTAACTGGATGCATTACACAAAACAAGCCACGCCCCGTGTGTAAGAGCCTTTACACAACAGGCTATGGCCAATCAGCAACAAAGCAGATTCATGACCTACAAAACAGTTGACACCAGTTGTAATGATAATATGGGGCATGCAGTGAAACGTTTGAATCAGATTCGTCATGAAATGTCATAATTTGACAATAGCTATCTGGCGTGATTTAGAACTGACTTTTTGTCCAAATATGGATTCAGAAAGCGAAAATGAATTCAACTGCTCTCCACCATCAGAAGTTTCGAAAGCTGCCAATTCAAGTACAATCAGCCTTTTGCCCGAGGAATCTAAAAAAAGGTATGAAGTGGTTTGGCGAAAAGCAAAACTTGCAAATTCGTTTTCGGATAATGTACTACTAGCCTATCCTCCTTGTGGTCACAGTATTCCATGCATATACTAAGAAGCACCATTTCAATGGAAAATTATGTGAATATTGACAAATATTTGAAGTTACGAGCATTTCTAAAAAGGAAATCTGATGGATATATGTCAAAGAAAGCGAAGATATTCACTGCTGATGAACTCAACCAGTTCATCAGTCAGTCATAGAAAAAGTATAGTATTCTACTTGCGTGTATAATGGCTATTACTCATTCGAATGATTACGACGTTCGCCTGCGGCTCACGTCGCAAACTTCATTCTCATGAGTAATGGCCATCATTACACGCTCGTCGAATAATATACTATTACGTTTTCCTCTATCATGATCCTTATTTATACAGGGTATTTCATAATTGAATGTCAATATTTGGGGAGGCGATTCTTAGGCACATTCTAAGAAGAAAATTTCATATGAACGTGTATGACTTAAACGTCCTAACTTTTGAGATACAGGGTGGTAAAGTTCTCAAAAATTAATAGTTTGTTATTAATATCTGTGATATCACTTCAGATATTCTAATGAAATTTTTTATACATGTACTATGTATCAAGAGGCATCAGTTAGTGTACCACATTTTGTTTTTGTTGCCACCAGTGGCGTTCGATTGGAATTTCACATACCACTGATTAATCTCGAAATGGAAATCATTCCTGAAATTCCCGATCATTTCCAAGCAAATTTGATCACTACAATTTTTTCAATCTGATGCACGGTTTTTGCTCAAAAAATAAAAAGCTTTCCACTACATGATTATATAGCAATATCGTTAATATGACAATATATTACAATGCAGAGAAATAGATTTTATTTTTTAGATAAAATTTCAGAAATACAAGTCATAGTTTATGAACTTCGTATTCGTATTTGGTATTTTGGAATTATAACTTCTCATTGTAGTAGGCTATATTAATTTTTGAGAACTTTCTTCTTAGAATGGGCTCAAGAATCACCTCCTCGAATATTGACATTCAAATATAAAGCACCCTGTATTTCGAACATGATAATGGTGATATTCACAGGGTGTATTGAAAATATGATTTCTCGAAGCTGCACACGCTTCATAATTCATTAAGGATGAACGTGAATCAATGTGTCGGTGTGTAATATCGAGATTTATTATTTAAAACTGGAGCTTTTCATAATAGACACAACAGGAAAACTTCATCATTAAATAAATTGACCATAAATTGGCGATGTTTAGTGAAATTGCAGTATAACGTAATATAACCGATGAGTTGTATAACACATGAAAGAACATTTCTCCGATTGGCTACTATATATTTATATAGTTAACTTTTTCTTCCTGAATTTGCGAAATTCAGACATGCGAATTAATAAAGTAATGTGATTGGATAAAGCTTCGTGTATTTCTGTAATGAGGGTATCAAAGTAAGTTGCACCAGTTGACAGTAAATGAAGTTTCCTTTGCATATAGGTATACTTTGTGAAATTTTCAGAATAGAAAAAACTCTTTATATTCAGATAAAATGTTCGACGAAGAATATTGATATTTCAGAAAATGGTTTTCAAGATTCAACATTCATCTTTTTCACAGAAAAATTTTCTCATTCGAATGATTTCTAAAAACGGGTTGTCTACGAATGAGAGGAACTTACAAGCATCACAAAAAATGTAAAGGTCCGTTTAGAATCGGATAACTGATTTTTCAAATTCTCCTAACACATATTCCAAATACACCTGTTAACATGGAACAAATTTGGGCCAATCGACAATTCACAAAACTAATTGACTAGTGTAAAAACTTCACAAACGATAAGATTCCACAAAAATAAGATTTCCACAAAATTATCGTTTGTGAAGTTTTTACATTTTTCTCCGATTGGCAGCAAATATTAATTTTGCTGACACATATCAATCAGCAAAGTACCTATTACATTTCCTGCCTAGGCAGCAAAGTGGGTACTTTGCTGATTGATATGTATCAGCAAAGTTAATAAACCATAAATCGTTTATAATTTCCTTCGTATTTCATCCGAGACTTCTCCGGCAACAAATTCAACTCTATATTTTTTGCCACCTCCCTCATTTCTGGAGGTGTAAGTACTTCCAGGTCGCTATCACTGTCCATTATATAATAATTCAAATATACCGATATTTTTTCGCACAACTGTCAGAAATTTCATGAATTGTCAAACTATAATTATTATGGACATTTCCATAGCAACCAACCATTCCAACAACTGCGATTTCTATCAAATTTTATTTTAATTGAACACTACAGGAAAAATAAAGAGATATATATCATTATGAACAATCGGAGAAAAAATTATATGTTCAACTCGGCAGTCAATCTACTACTTTGCTGCCTAGTTAAACAAATAACTATTGCCATGGATTTCCATCAAGTAATGGCCGAGTCAATTCAAAATAATCGACTAGTTTCTAGTTTCAGTGTTTTTATTTTCAAAAATTCTCAATGAATTTTCAATAAACGAATGCGTTACAATTAATGGTCTGCTATGTATGTGAACAAATACTTCTTTCTCATTAGGTATATGTGAAGTCTTTTTTCTACTCACATACCTAAAATGGCATTTAGCGTACGGATATGTACCATGCACGCTAAACGATCGATTAATCACGGATTGTCGATCTGTGATTCATTCAAAATACCATGGCAACACGATTTCTTAAACACATCACCATGGCAACACAGTTCATTAAATACAGCTTCAGTAATTTGAGACATGTCTGGCCTGTCAATTGTATTGACTGTCAACTGTTATTTTCAAATTTTGTATCAGAATTATTCAAACAATATTCGTTTGTATCAGAATTCTTCATTAAAAATATATTCGAATCGTAGACGAAAGTGAAATTGAAGAGAATGTTCTGGTTCTTGCATTTCTCCTAGAAGTAGTGTAAAAATGAAGCATCCATCTTTGAGAACAATTTATTTATTCTGCGCTACACACATCTACAACCAATATCACTTATACGTGTCTCGCTGGTTGCATGCAGTTGCATGTATTCATTATATTCTCAATTTCCATTCCTTTCGAATTATTTTGTAGGTTAGTAGGAATATGTATGTTGATGCAATTTTCGGAGTTCGTAGAAAAAGCATAGTATGTAACGCGTTTATAAACTCTTCAAGACACTCGTTTATTAAACACTCGTTACCAAAAGGACGTTTATGACACTTGTAACATAATATACTATAGCAGGTTGATTACAACCTGTACTTGCAACCTGTGTTTATCAGACTACAAGGGAAGATAGGTTGCTGCATCTCACTGAATCACTGAAAAATTTACAGAATGTATCATCATACCATAGATTAATTCAAGTACAAGTTCCATGAAACTAAATGTTCAGGAATTCAGATATTGTATTGACCCAAATGATGTAAGTTGACCATAGCCGAATCATGTGCAATGTCTATAGAGCCTTTTCTTGTTGAAGAACTTATTTAAATTTGCATTTCCCTTGACTAATGATTATTGGAATCAGCAACAGCACTTTAGTTTGGACATTATTATCTACAATGGAAGTATTAATGGTATATATCTCTGAATCTATACTCAACACTTCTTTTGTTTTTTTAGATACAGGGTGATTCACGAGCCACTGTACCTACTTATGGTGTCGTATTTCAATGCCACCCTGTATATTATGTCTGGTATTTTTTTATGTGTAAGTGTTAATAGCGAACATTAATTATTTTTTTTAATTGGCTAGGAATTCAGCCATGACAGTCAATCTACATTTGCTGCCGTGTGAAACATATAATCTTTTAAAAGCCACTTTTCCTGCCGCTTGGAAAAAATAGTTATTTATACAGTGTGTCCCACTTACCATGCTCACCATGGGTATCTTTTTAACGGTGAGAGATGCGAGGTCGGTTAAATGACACCAAATGTGGAGTTTGTGAAAAAATATTTTGATAAAATCTATTCGTTTTTGTTTTATACGCAAAAAACAGATTTTGATCATTTTCATGTCTCCTCCGTAACTTCTTTATTTATGAAAATATTCAAATAGGAATTTCACATTCTCATAGCAGTTTTTCAAAATGATTTCGAAAAAAATATGAAATTTATACCAACTCTTCTAGAATTTCAGATAACAGCACCAACTTCAGTTTTTCAAATGTAGGTCATAGCTCACTATGACTTGGTTACAAATAACTTCTTTTTCTCTTACAGATGATATGTCGCAGTAATAGTTTTGTGTTGATAACAACGGAGTTATCGTCATTTATACAAAAACAAAAAATGATTTGGATGCCGCCATCTTGAATTCATAAATTTTAACAAAAAAATCATGATCTCCGACCTCAAAAACCCCATACTTACCAATTTTGAATGTTATCGGACCAAATCTTGTCCGCCATCTTGGAGCAGCCATTTTTTTAAATTTCAGCGAAAATTCCATAATGAATTGTCACCGAAATTATGAACACCTGCCGAATTTCAAGTTAATTGAAGTTATGGAATTTTCGCTGAAATTTAAAAAAATGGCTGCTCCAAGATGGCGGACAAGATTTGGTCCGATAACATTCAAAATTGGTAAGTATGGGGTTTTTGAGGTCGGAGATCATGATTTTTTGTTAAAATTTATGAATTATGGCGGCATCCAAATCATTTTTTGTTTTTGTATAAATGACGATAACTCCGTTGTTATCAACACAAAACTATTACTGCGACATATCATCTGTAAGAGAAAAAGAAGTTATTTGTAACCAAGTCATAGTGAGCTATGACCTACATTTGAAAAACTAAAGTTGGTGCTGTTATCTCAAATTCTAGAAGAGTTGGTATAAATTTCATATTTTTTTCTAAATCATTTTGAAAAAGTGCCATGAGAATTCCTATTTGAATATTTTCATAAATAAAGAAGTTACGGAGGAGACATGAAAATGATCAAAATCTGTTTTTTGCGTATAAAACAAAAACGAATAGATTTTATCAAAATATTTTTTCACAAACTCCACATTTGGTGTCATTTAACCGACCTCGTATCTCTCACCGTTAAAAAGATACCCATGGTGAGCATGGTAAGTGGGATACACTGTATATACCAATGTAGTAAAGAATATCATTATTTCCCAGGGACCAAGATTCATATCCCGAGGCTTCACTACCAGCAATATATCGCTCAATCATTTTAGTTCTCTGAAACTGAAATATGGACCTATTGTCACCATGAAAGCAATTATTTTCAATGCTTAGCCATGACCATGACAGCATATGTCAAGTCGTTATTGATAAATACCTATTAGATTCCATTGCCATTCCTGCGAATCTCTGATCAGAACTGTGCATTCGGGTTAATTACAACAAAGGTGGCTATATCTTTTTCGACTAGTGGTTCACAAAATGACGAAAACTACCTTTATAGTGAAAACACTTCACGCCTCGAGAAGGAGCAAATATTGGTAGGTTTCATAGCTAGTGGCGGAAAAAATATTTCACTAGATTCCTTTTTTTTCATTTCAAGTAGGCGAGTGTCATCTTTAATCCATTTGAAGGCATTTGACCTTGAAGATTATATTTTTTGGCGTGGATTGTATTTTATTTTTCGCAAGTTAACGTAGGTCAATATGAGTAATACATTTAATTTCAAATTCCACATGCACCTTCATTATTACACCATTGCAATTCGCAATTCAGTCTGTATTATTGATAACTATACTCACTTGCGAGTCAATGAAGATTTGTTTCTTGGGGTTGATATGCTCGCACAAATTTTGAGATCCAGTCCAGTAAATGTTTCCCCAGAACCATCCTGTTGAATATCTTCCACTAGCATCGTCCACTGAAAAAAAGGAATTCGTTCAAAATCAAGAAATCTATCGAAACCCAGACAGCACGAAGTAGTATATACAGTGTCTTTCAAAAGTATCGGAACGGTCTCATATTTCAGGAACGGCTTGAGAAAAATTCACGAAATTTTCTACAGGGTGATTATTGATGATGTCCGAATCAATGGTGGCATCGGCAATGTTGCCAAGTTTACAGTTTTTCAGATATTAGGAGTAACTTTATTTTTTTAAATGGAATATCCCATTTATTTTTATTGCAATTAATTAAGCGCCTCCTAATTACAATGTCTTTCAAAAGTATCGGAACGGTCTCATATTTCAGGAACGGCTTGAGAAAAATTCACGAAATTTTCTACAGGGTGATTATTGATGATGTCCGATTCAATGGTGGCATCGGCAATGTTGCCAAGTTTACAGTTTTTCAGATATTAGGAGTAACTTTATTTTTTTAAATGGAATACCTCATTTATTATTATTGCAATTAATTAAGCGCCTCCTGATTACTCGAGTCCCTGAATATAAGATTCGTAATTAACGTGATTTTCGAAATATGACAACATAGCATATTCGTTTTCATTGCAATACCTCTGATATTTGGAGACATAAGTAATGAGGCGTCGCTGAATGTATTGCAATGAAAACGAATAGGATATTCCATTTGAAAAAATTGAGTTACCCTAAATATCTGAAAAACTGTTGATTTGGCAACATTGCCGATATCACCATTGAATCGGGCATCATCAACAACCATCCTGTCGAAGTTTTCATAAATTTTCTCTGTGCCGTTTCTGAAATATGGGACTGTTCCAGAACTTTTTAAAGAAAATGCTATATACTGTCTGTAGGTTAATCGAGGAGGTGGTACATAATAATAAATAATATTCATATTTTTATTTTATAGAAACGAGGAGAGAAAATCCCAAAAATTTGGGATAATGAAAATGCTGTGTTGTCATATTTCGAAAATCACGTTAATTACGAATCTGATATTCAGGGACTCGAGTAATTAGGAGGCGCTTAATTAATTGCAATAAAAATAAATGGGGTATTCCATTTAAAAAAATGAAGTTACTCCTAATATCTGAAAAACTGTAAACTTGGCAACATTGCTGATGCCACCATTGAATCGGACATCATCAATAATCACCCTGTAGAAAATTTCGTGAATTTTTCTCAAGCAGTTCCTGAAATATGAGACCGTTCCGATACTTTTGAAAGACACTACTGTATAATTAAAAAAAAACGATATATCGTTAACTATCGATTTCTTCTCAATACGGGGTTTTTCACTTAAATCTCCG